TTTGTTTCTAGACGAGGTCGTCCTCATACTATATTTTCTGATAATGGGACTACCTTCAAGGGGGCTTACTCAGAGTTACTAGAGATACAAACATTTCTAGATAATAAAATAAATCAAAAGGAAATTCAAGAATTTTCTAACAAAGAGAGCATAAACTGGAAATTTATTCCCCCAAACTCCCCACATTTTGGTGGGCTTTGGGAAGCTGGGGTGAAGTCAATAAAATCTCATTTAAAAAGAGTTGCATTCAATATAAACCTTGACTTTGAAGACTTCTACACCCTTCTTGCGCAAATTGAAGCAGTTGTAAACTCCCGACCCTTAACTCTACTTTCAACTGACCCTAATGATCCACAACCTTTAACCCCTTCGCACTTTCTTATCGGAAGAAAATTAACATCTGTTCCGGACATCAGCTATTCCCAAACGCCAGATAATAGGTTGAAGCATTATCAACACATACAGAAGCTGGTGCAACATTTTTGGAGAAGATGGAGTACAGAATATATTAATAATCTTCAACAAAGAACAAAGTGGGCGAAGAATGGAGCTTCAATCCAAATTAATGCCATTGTATTAATCCGCGACGACAACTCTCCCCCAATGTCATGGAGGCTAGGAAGGATAGTGGAACTTCATCCGGGCAAGGACAGTATCGCGAGAGTGGCATCGGTAAAAATCGCGAGTGGTGCAATTTTTAAACGCTCAGTGACAAAATTGTGCGTGTTGCCGATAAGCTAATAATTATTGTGTCAGTAATGCAGTTGAAAGTAATTAGACTTTCAAGGTGGCCGGCATGTTAGGTACACGGGGTAGTCGGGTAGAATTGTAAACAAATTGTAAAGTGTCCTATTATGTTCGTCACGTACAGTTTATTACAGTTTTATTGGTATTAATAGCCAAAATTCCCCTCGGCTGCATTCTTGTAGGTCCAATGACCGCCTACCTGGGGGTAGGATAATATTATGTTTGTACATTATTGTTAGATAGTAAGTTCATAGATTTTATAAAATTTTAAATTAGTACTATTATAGACTCGCTGGAGAAAACATCGTCTCCATAAGACAAACTCTATTATCCTAATTTCTTGCGATTGATTTTTATAATCATTTTTTTTAATTATTCGGTAGTTGTAGTTTTAAAGTTAGTTTATAGTGGATTAAATTTAAGTTAAATTCAATATAGTTATTTTCTACAATCACTACATCTACGTGTCTTATTTCATGTGGTACTTAGTACACCCCGTTGACAATAGTTTATACAAAAAACTTATTCAACGATAAAACAGATCCCCTTTTAAATCTGCTATTTTATAATTTTAAAATCCAATATCGGATTCCTCATAATCATAAGATCGTCGGTCCTAAGACTGGTTGGGCACGCACCTCCACTCTTTCCTATCCTAAGCTAATCTTCGCATTTCCCTAAAACTAGAACATCCTACATCCTTGACTATTTGCGAACAGTAATCTTATCTAGGTCTATCTCCACCCCTCCCAACTCCCGTTTCTGTCTCTAATATGTCTCTGAATAGACCTTCATGCCTGAGAAGGTGTCCTACCAACATATCTCGCCTATTTCTTATTGACTTCTCTGGAGTCCTCTGTTCTCCTATTCTTTCTAAAACCTCTTCATTTCTAACCTTCTCTATCCACGATCTCCTCAACATTCGCCTGTAACACCACATTTTGAACGCTTCTAACCTTTTTTTTCCACCGCGCCAACCGTCCACGTTTCGCACCAGTACCCTACAGCTCAGTGCTCCGAACATACACCTCTAAAAATCTTTTTGGAATTTCTAAATTAATCGTTCGCGAGCATAGAAGTGACTTCTTTTTGTTGAAGGCGATTCGACCCTGCGCTGTTTTCTATTTATATCCCTATTACTCCTTCCGTACTACTACTTTACTAGCGTAAAATTAATTGCAGGTATTGTTGAAATATTATTAAGATTGAGACAGCAAGTGTCTACTAAATGTAGTACCATACGATTGCTTGCTCTAATTAATTAGCATTAATTTCTAGTTGTGCAAGTTAAACACAAACCCTTTAACTACACAAAAAGCTGCAGTACGAGCGTGCCCACAAGTTGAAACGCTGTTTTTACTGAAGGTCGGAGGAACACAACCTGTTCAAGAATAAACCTGCTCTTAACCTCTTTAAATCCAAAATATGTATTAAGATCCCTAAGCCGAAGCTCTTAACAAGACAAGGGTAGCAGAAGGTATCAAATCCTTGCTCTATTTGTGACAGCTTAAATGAGCCAAGTCCACCCCTGAAGTCGCATTTCAGACGTCTGTAAAACAAGCATTTGTAAGGGATAGGCTATCGCTTGCCAACTGTTGGGAATTTAATTACCTTGTGAAAGGGGGCGATTGATGGATATTGTAGTTAGCCCTGCGCATCTCTTTATTGCCTACGGTTTATTACTGCGTCCACTGTATATATGAATTACGTAATTTTAAACGCAAGAGCAGTTGCTAATTATTTTTATTGCTAGTGGTATATACATAATCATATATACATATATATACAGGGTGTCCCAGTTATAATAATTAAAAAAGAAACCATGGCTTCCTGACACAAAATACAACAAAAAAGTGTTATACAATTTTTCAATCCAGTGAACAAAATTGCAAAGAGTTATTGCATATTGTTTGCGGTTTATTAAAAATTCAAGGGTCTCGATAGCAACCAGAAATCATGGTTGCTTGTCAGTAGAAGAATTAGAACACAGCTTAAAAATATTACTGAAATTGGCGCAAGGTACTACATTGTCACAAGACATCCGTTGTTTATCTAAAGAAAATTCACTTTCATCCAATAGCCAACTTATCTCATTAAATCCATTTATAGATAATAACGGTCTGTTACGTGTTGGAGGCCGAATTCAAAATTCAAGTTTTTCGTATGAGAAAAAACATCCAATCATTTTACCTTCATCTCACCCATTAACAAAATTAATTATTGAACACGAACACCTTCGATTGTTACACTGTGGTGCAAATTTACTACTAGCCACCTTGCGTGATAAATATTGGCCAATTTCGGGACGAAACAATATTAAAAAGGTAATTTTTAATTGTGTAAAATGTTATCGAGTACAACCTAAACCAGCTGATTATCTAATGGGAAACTTACCCAAAGAAAGATTACAACCTTCACCTCCGTTTTTTAATTGCGGTGTGGACTATGCCGGTCCTGTTCAGATAAAAACCAAGAAAGGCAGGGGTTCTAAGCTCCAAAAGGCTTATATATGTCTATTCATTTGTTTATCAACCAAAGCTATTCATTTAGATTTGGTCACAAGTTTAACTTCCGCGGCTTTTCTTGCAGTCTTGAGACGGTTTGTTTCTAGACGAGGTCGTCCTCATACTATATTTTCTGATAATGGGACTACCTTCAAGGGGGCTTACTCAGAGTTACTAGAGATACAAACATTTCTAGATAATAAAATAAATCAAAAGGAAATTCAAGAATTTTCTAACAAAGAGAGCATAAACNTCATGGGATTTTCGATTGTGATAGGTACATAGTTTTTCTAACGTGTTTCAGTCATCTAATGGACCTTAACGCGAGTGCATTTTCTTCGGCTGATCCGTAACTTAATACCAAACATAAACAATAACATCACCCCAAAAAGCAGCTGATTCCGACCTACTGAAGGTGAATTTTTCTACGATCAGCTGGCAATCGTAATTAATTTGCGATTGTGCAGGGCCGGCATCGAAACTCTTATAATTTTATAATTTTTTATTTTGTTTCAAAAGTCAAAAGTGTTATAACATTTTATGTTCCAAATGTCCGTAGGAATCTGTGGTATAAATATTAATTATTATAACTGGGACACCCTATATATAATCAGCACTGCAGTGTAGCTTCACGGTGGCAGTTTGTCCATTAGAGATGCGCTAGACAGTGATTTTGCAGAGTACCGGATGACCGAGTACTCGAAATCAGCTATGTTAAAAAAGTCGCTTAAACCGCTAAACCAATGAAATTCTCATTCTTGGTTGGCGAATTTAAACGAGAGGGTCGAATCGAAACGAACGCAAAATGTTTATAAAAGTTTGCAAAGTGACAAAATAATACTAATAATAAGTTATCATTAACTAAAACCTGATATACCAAAAAGTGACAGAAATTGTAAAAGTTCGACCACACTGATGTATTCTTGTTCAAGAGAAAAAGTAAATGCAAGAACTTTATCGAAATAACAAATAATTTAGTGTAGTAATTAATAATTAAAACAAATTAGGGTAAGATTTTTCTTATACTTTTGTTTTTTCTTTTGGGGTAATTCAAGTATTACGTAAACACTACAGTAGGCAGGACGGTCTTTGCTTTGCTTATTTCTGATGACATGGGGAATGGGGGGGGGGGTTCTGGATGGTGATTACGTCAATTTTTTTACTTTTTCGGATTTTCTGCAAAATTTAGTCGATTTTGATTTGAACACATTTGGTAACCCTCTGCTTGTCTATGCCTGAAAACGAAACGCATTTTCAGGAACTAATAACGGTTGCTCATGAATAAATAAAGAATCCAGAACACACTGAAAAATGCATGTATCAATGTTTATGTAAGCATGGGAGGAGTGGGGGTAAGAACTCTGCTTACTTTTTCTAAAGGGGGAAGGGGTTAATAATTGCAAAAATCTGCTTAGGTAAAACTTGAACGGCCCCTTTTTCTTGAACAAAATTACCCAGCACTGCCGATTACTCAGCGTTATTATCTAGTACTGGGTTAGATCTGTCGGGTACCTGATCCAAACCGACTACCCGGCCCATCCCTACAACAGGGATATACAAAGAGCTCACAGAACTTTTCTACATACTAAACAAGTTATAGAATTTTGCCAATTTCATTCTTTGAATATATGTATCACACTATCCTATTACTTATTAAATGCAAATTGCAAATTTAGTTAACGTTAAGGGCTAACGAAGATACAAGAAAAGCTAAAATAATGTTTTTTTTTGTAAATGGTAGATACTTACTCTTTCAGTCAGTGATGCTTTTATTTACGCCAACGGCAGTTTCAATCTGTAAATTTAAAGGATACTATCTTAAAGTATGGTTAGAAAATAAAAGCATTAAAATGAAAAAGATAATAACAATAGCCACAAAAGTTTGTACATAGTACTATACAAAGGTGTAATGAGAGATAAAGTTTCTTGTTACATCAATAAAATTATACGGCTGCAGAATACGAAGCACGCACCATTATCAACCAGGTCAGTGAACAGATCCGTATTGTACTTTTTCTATGATCGTCAGCTTTCAGGTTTCAAATTTTGCAAACAGAACGAGCAATAGAATTTTACGAAATTCTTTTTGCACTGTTTAGCAATATGACAAAAGACCTGAACTACAAGTAAATTATTAAATTAAATACCTAATTATTCTATTTTATACTTCGCTATAAGGTTAAGAATTCATCTTACCGCAAGTATCTGAATTAACAGCCCCCAAAACGCATTTCTTAAAATACTACAGGTAATGTCGAAAGAAAATAAAAATGCCCTATACATATTAAACAATAATAACCAGACTTAATTTCAATACCATTATTCACCAGAAGATTCCCTCAATTTTAAGTAATTTTAATATTGTAAGTACCGATATTCAAAATCCATTTCCAACATGATTATAAGACCGTCAGTCCTAAGACTGGTTAGACACGCACCTCCACTCCTTCCTATCCTGAGGTAATTTTCGCATTTCCCCAAAACTAGAACATCCTACATCCTTAACTATTTGCGAACAGTAATCCAATCTAAGTCTACCTCTACTCTTATTAACTCCTGTTTCTGCCTCTAAAATGTCTCAGACTAGACCTTCATGCCTGAGAAGGTGTCCTACCGATTTATCTCGCCTATTTCTTATTGACCTTCCATAGAGTCCTCTGTTCTCCTATTCTTTCTAATACCTCTTCATTTCTAACCTTGTCTCTCCACGATCTCCTCAACATTCGCCTATAACACCAAATTTCTAACGCTTCTAACCTTTTCTTTTCCGCCACGCCAACCGTCCATGTTTCGCACCCGTACAGCGCCGCACCCCAAACATACACGTTTAACAATCTTTTTTGAATTGCTAAATTAATCGTTGGCGAGCATAGAAATGACTTCAATCAGAACGAAAATTATTTTGGGCAGATAATTTACGTGATTTTATTATATATAGTCAAATTTGAACAAAACAAATGAATTCCTGAGTGAGTAATTGGGAAAATTTATTTATTGAAGGGATACCAACATTACATCATCTGGTATACGGCACAAATGGCGTCTGCTAGCTTTCAAATGAAAATCGTTTACATTTCCATACATGTGTCAGTTCATCCATGAATATTATGTAGTACCTGAATAAATAGAAAATTATTCATAGTTTGCGTTTCCCGAGAGTGATATTTTGACAGTTGCGTTATGATAAATAACAATAATCTTGTTTTAGGAAGCGTGGTTTTCAACCACGATGGGTGGTAACAATAACGCGTTATAGCAGCAGGTTTATGAACAGATGGGGTCTGCATAGTGTTAAAGGGTTTATATAAAATTGTACGCATGTTCGTATACGTGTAATTATTTTTAGATTCGATATGCACAATGGTGTGTGGCAGTTTAACGACTTGACTAACAGGAAATAAAAAAGAACGCTCTTTATACAGAAACCATATTGGCGCAGCTTGGACCAAAGTGTACGATGTGTTTGTGAATGAAAAACTGGTCGATTCTTATTAAATACTTAATAGTTTTTAAGGAGTTGTGCCTTAAATCTTATGAGTAATTATTTCGGCACTTTTTAGTTAAAATTTGTATTTATGGTCAAATCGACAGTAGAGAAGACCGTCGAAGCGGCACTTAAATATGTACAATGTTATTATGAAACAACTCTGGAGAGAGGGTGGTCAACCCGCGGCTTGTCTAGAACATTTTTCCGGCCCGCGAGATTCACAATAATTTTACAAAATATATTGTTTTTATAATGTTCGCTGATATTCAGTACCTATTTAGAAGATCATATAACTCAGAATGAAAAGAGTAGTAGAGATATAAAACAGAGAATAGCACAAGGTGGAACTGCTCGTGAACAGTTAATTTAAATATTCGAAAATGATTGTTAAAGGTGTATGGCGCTGTACGGGTGCGAACCATGGATAGAGATCGTTAGAAATGAGGAGGTATTAGAAAGAGTGGGAGAACAGAGGGCGCCAAGGAAGTCAACTAGATATAAGCGAGATATGTTGGCAGAACACTTTTTTAGGCATGAAAGGTTAGTTAGAGACATATTAGAAGCAGAAACAGGAGTCAATAGGAGTAGACCTAGATTAGATTGGGATGTTCTAGTTTTAGGGAAATGCGAAGATTAGCTAAGGATAGGAAAGATTCGAGGTGCGTATCCAACCAATCTGGCGATTCTATGATGATGATAATGATTATAATGACCAAAGTAGTGAAACCAAAAAATATTCAATGTTCAGATATACGTATGTATAATTTTACATGAAGCCAGTGGAGTGAATAATTTCCAAATTGGCCCGCATGCACATTTAGGTTGACCGCCCCTGCTCTAAAAGTATTTTAAAATGTTTCTTCTATTATCTAACTTAGGTATGTTTTCGTTCATTATGTAGAAGTCAGTCAATGAAAGTCAATTTAGGTCGAGTGTTAACCACAGAATCTATACCTTCACCTTAATCAACAATTAATGAAAAATCTACGCTATGTAAACGATGATATCCAGACGGCCTATAAGTATATTTCATTTACTTTCTCTAGCGATTTTCCACTTCCAATGTCTTAGATACGCGGTGGCAAAATCGTAGGTAGGGAGCTCAAAAGCTCATTATACTCTCGGCTCGTATTCATTAAGCATACTTTTTCATACAATAACTGCCAATAATTTTGTTCAATCATGAATAGTAGTGCGAGTCGAAAACAAGCGTTAAAGCCTTTAATATGTCTTCAAATATAAATAAACATCTCGTTGATATTTTCAGTAGTAAATGGTACCAATAACAGCACATTTGAGTAATGCAATTGTAGTGTATAAAATGGTCAATTTTTCCGTGCAGTACTGTACGGATTATACGCTCC